GTCATTTTGCTGAATTGACTATCTGCTAGTATTAACATCATCAATATCTCACTGGTATAACTTTTACATGTATTTCAAAGGGTGTTCTGCATTCACAAGGATTGATGTAAACATTAGGCATCTAAAATACACACACTACATAGGCATAACATTGCGATCACACGCTTACGGGCCTACATTTCATAATCGTTTTATAATCAAGCGTTTTACGTCTCTGTTTAAAAGTTATCCTTCACTTCACATGATGTGGCAAAATGCCTGGAGCTACCTAAGGTGGAAACGGAACGGGCATAGTGTGGCAAAAAGGGCCTAGTGTGGAAAGGGGCTGTGGCAAAAGGGCAAGTAGCAACTGACCTAGGTGGAATAAGGTCGGGTGGCAAGTGGCTGAGTTGCAACAAGCTTAGAGTGGCAAAAGGCCAGGTGGGCAATGGACCTAGGGTGGCAAAAGACCCGGTTGCGAAAGACCGGGTGGTAAAAGACAGGGGAAAATGGGCCAAGTGGCAACGGGCCAGGTGGCAATGGACCTAGACCCGATCAGCTAGCTGTTGCCTATGAGCTAGTTGGAAGTTTAAGTGCTTTTAACTTTGTATTTATGTAGGGAAACTTACAAGCAACTCGGTTCAATCTGTTGTTTTTGATTACACATTCTAAAGGGACAGAAAGATCATAACCTCATAGTTGCCCTGGCAAAATAACAACATACATTGTTCTTATAAAACAGGATAATGAACTTTTATTCATACAAATTCCATTATTGCAGCAAAAGTAGTAAAATAATAATGTAGTGAAACTTAGGCTTAAATAGCTCCCAGGTCCGTTTATTTACAACACAACTTTCAAATTTTTAGCAAACACACATCAGGAAATGCACTGGAATTGTTTAGTCAACTATATGTGACAAGGACTCGTCCAAATCACTTAACCAAGCCATTTCGATTTTACAGATTTCATTTGAAATTAAAGCTTGCTGAGGTGTATCATGGAGTATTATTTGATGTTTTTGCTCTTTGTATCCACAGGAGCACAAGGTATGTGAGTCCCAAGTTGAAAGAATCCACATCCCAGAAATCTGTTTAATGAAACACACCTAATTATATTTTGCTGTGCATTGTGATATCCTTTGCACTTCCGGGAGACAATAGTCCTTTCCGGAACGTCGATCAAACCATTTAGGAAATATATTGATATACATCCTCCATGGTCAAACTTAACAACTGACATAAGAACAGTGCCAGAGTGTCCAACACACATATTGTCCAAAAACGTACATGTTTACGTACTTTTACGCTATTACATGGTGGGACCTTAGGAACAATCTCCTACGTGCGGGGTTTAGCGGTCCGTTGATATAGTTAAGCCCTTAAACGTGCAAATTATCGTAAATTTAGAAAAGGATGGGTTATTTTCCGGGAGTTCTTGCTTGCTCGCGGGAACGTGAAAGACCTTATTGATTTCCAGGAGATTCCCGCAACTTAATTGCGGGAGACATAACACACCTGATGTACCAGAAGTGAAAATACTTTAAAATAAAAATCCCGTGACAGCAATTGTTTCTGTTATTCGATATAATTATTATTATTCTTATTAATTTTTGTTATATTATTATTATCTTGATTACTGTATTGTGATGCTTATTTATAATATTGTTACTTTGCATTATTGATACTGAAGTTTGTTTCATGCATTATTATTGTTACTATTATTATTATTATTATTAATTTGACGTTTAATTCACGGTTACTATTTAAAAGACGCTCCTTTATCAATGCTTATTTTAACTTTTATTACTTACTCTTGTTTCTTATTCTATTCAGTTCAGTTTATTCAGAGTTTCACATAATACATTAAAAAAAAATCAATTGGATATAACATAACGATGGACCTGCACACGATGTATTAAGTGTGGTGACTCTATTAAGCAAAGAGGCTTTAGGACTGAGCTACCAGAAAACAAACGATCAATGAAAAGCAGCATGACTAAATAAGAAAACAAGATCTGAAAAGAAAAATATCTAAATACATAGATAATGAACAAGAAATAAAACAAAAATCACTTCTTATAACAAAGAAAATGTTGAGAAAAAACTTTAAAACGGTCAATGAATTACCGGTCATGATTAATTTTAAGCTATTTGAAGGAGCAAATTTGAATTTTAATGGTAGTTTGACTTGTAAAGTGTATTGGTGTAGTAAATATTTCTTGTATTTGTTTTTGAGATTAAGTATTGTTGTTGTAAATTTAATATATAAGGGTAAATTATTCCATAAATTTGGTCTATTAAAAATAAAAGAGTTTTTCTTGAGTGCTGTTGAATATTTTTCATAGATAAAATATTTATGAATAGATACCTAGATTCATAAGAATAAAGTTCGATGAAATTTGTAAAAAAACGAGTTAAACTGAGGAAGAAGCTGATTGTTGGAAAAACGAAACATGAATAAGACAGTTTGTAGTTTATTAATATCAAATATATATAATGTTTTTAGAGAATAAAATAATTGTCTTGTATGGGACCTTGGAGGCGCCCCTATCCTAAGTGCCTTCTTTTGAAGCTTAAAAAGACAACCCTAGGCAAAGGCAAAAGGAAAAGAGAAGAGAAAAATAAAGACAAGAATAAAAAGGAAGATATAATGAACAGATATCACAATGCCCCTGCCTGCAACCCATTCTCCACTTCAAAAAGTGTCCATAGCGCCAGGTGCATTGGGGTAATCACCGGGGGACAAGGGGAAAATATCTATCTGTGGAAAGCCTTTCCCCATTGAATGCCCTTTTCACCCTGGAAAGTGCCTGAAAATCTCAAATTTTAAATCGCATATTTTGTTGAGGTAGGCCAATTTCCTCTAAAAAATTTTGAGTTTTGATCAATTCCGACGAAATTAGAATTTAAAAAACAAAAATTTTTCGCGCGCTTCGCGCGCATTTTTTATGTTAAAGCTTGTGCTTGCTCCCCTTTGCCTTCCAAGTTATAACACATAGTCCCCAAACTCAAGAAAGAAAATTTAAGATAGGCCTAGATCGTTTTACCTAAAAGAAGGGCCTCAATGTGTAATGATGTTGAAAGAATATGTTTGTAATAAATAAAGTCATAAGGAAAATGCTTATATTCAGTTTAAAAAAAACGAGTGTGGCCATATATAATATAAGAGCATTTCTTGTTGAGATAGGCCAATTTCCTCTAAAAATTGCACAATTAGGGAGTTTTGATCAATTCCGACGAAATT